GTCACATTAGGAATTGGGGACTTGCAGTGGACAGTTTTCACTCTCTCAATATCTAATTTCTCCATTTTAATCTCCCATTAGGGATTAATAATGTTAATCTTCTTCTTCTATCTAACATTTTATAAACTAAACAAATAACCGGTTAATAAAAAAACTCTAATATCCTATGTATATTACCTTCCGTTCCACAACCTTTTGCCCTATCACTAAAATCTGACGCATCTAATTAAAACATATCATCTGACTCATCAGTTTGGCATTGATCCCTTGACTCTGTTGAATGATTTCTGTAGTAGCTGAAGTCTATTAATAACAGCCACCACCCGCGTGTCTCTGCCAACACTAGTTTCCGTCAAAAGCTGTGGAACAAAGTGTTCCCTGTGGTTCAACGAGGGAGTCTATTGAGGCAGCATCAGTTTATGCACAACATTATATTTACCAAACAGTAAAAGCTATATTGCTACAAAGTCAGATGTATGTGCAAACCTGCATGTGGCTTCTATTTAAGTCAGATTTTTTCAATGCTGCTGTGTCAGCAAATTAAACCTTTTCTCTTGGGATGAAAGTCATTATTTCTGCAACATAGCAGCTTAGTAAAGATGAGAACAAGATGCAAAAAAAGACAAGGCAAATGTCTCAATCAGGTTAAACAAACTACTGTAGTGTTGTGTTAAGCTATAGAAAAGTTGGTATTTTTTGCTCTATCTATGCAAAAAAAAAAGTTATTTTGAATTGTTCCTGATCCAATTGGACAAAACGGTGAGATACCAACACACTAAAATGAACTTAACTGAATAACTTTGTGTTTGCCTGCAGTGATGCGCCTGCTGGGCATCCCCTGCCGTGTGGTCACCAACTACGAGTCAGCCCACGACAACAACAGCAATCTGATCATTGACGTGTACCACGCTGACTACGGAGTCAGACAGAAAGAATCCCCTGACAGTGTTTGGTGAGAGGCTACATTTTCTTACTCCTCCTGTCACTACTGGCTGTGAAAATGTCTCTTCCAGTCTGAGTTAGACAACGCAAGAGGGAATCTTCTCAGGGGTCAGACTGCTGAAGCCTCAAATTAACTTAAGATGAGTTTTGGAAGTCAGTTTTGAACAAAATGAGGACTTATTTTATAATTTGTACAGTACACTAACAATTCACAGAAACGTTTTCATTGTACATATAATATATTGTATTAAGATACACTTGAAAAAAACAGAACCTATCTCTTAAATAGTGTGACTTGTGGGATTTTTATGTTTTTTGCAACAGTTGAAAACTTCCAGCAGTTACAGAAGCATTCAGCATTCAAGTCATGTTCATTGCACCCGATGAGTCCAGTATTCGCTCTCCCTTTTGCTCTGGTTTGGTCTCCATGAACTAATCTGGCTCCTAAAAGCTCCACTTTCTTAACCAGTTAATCACTTATTTTGTCTGTTTCCTGTTCGGTGTTGAGCAGGTTGTGTATAGTTGTTTTTTTTACCGAAAACAGCTGGAAATGGAGTTTACCAAAACAATGAGCTGAAAGGCACTCAAACACTCCATAGAGCTCAGCTGGTAATTCTCGGTGGAAAGTGACCTTTTCACATAAAATTAGTAATTGTTAATTTAAAAAGTCATGCAAACAATAAACACGACTTGTGGACTTGCTATGTCAAGAAATAAAAAGGTCGATGGTGTCATGGCTTTAATTCTTCAGTTTGGCAACAGTGTTGTAAATCCTGTGGGTGTGTAACCTGCCACTCCTTAGAAATAAATAATACAAGTCATTTGAAAAAAATAAATGCAATATACAAAATTCCCCAGAGGAAATGTGTTGCCAGCCTTTATAGGTCAGATCAGAATAAAGAGGTGTGATGAGACACATTCTCAGGCCAAAAATCGTGTCAATATGTCAGTATTTGTTAACCACAGCTGCATACACAATCTGAATACACCTGAAGTTTATTATCCATTGTGGTTTTCAAAATATGACTATTAATATTTTTCTTTGGGTGTGGTGTCTCATTCTTGTCACCACCATCATTATTGTTCATTGTGGTGGAGAGTTTAAGTGTCTCATGAAGCTTTAAATGCACAGACCATAAAACTGAATGTGACATTGCAGTATTCATTACTTTGCAGTTCTAAATGTCTCCACCTTATATTGTGGGGCCTTTGTGAGCCTTTTACTGTATAAACCTTAAAGCATAAGTCAAAGAGAAACACACTGTGGTCTACAGAGACTAGAAATACTTCATATTTGAGTAGAGCATTCGAGTCCAGTGCAGTGTTTTTTGGGTATCACATATCTTTATTGATTTTGAAAATGATACATCCCTTTTTCAAAATTAGGTTGTTACATAATTTTAGTCCCCTCGAAACCATCTCCCCCCTCCCCTCCCACCCATCCATGAATTCAGAGCCATAGGTGTAGATAGTAAATAAATTAATGATATAAATATACGTAAATAAATGTGCTTTAAAGAAAACATATCTTAAAGAAAAAGAAACAAAAGAAAAGGGGGTAAATGTCAGAGTTTTAGATTCCAGAGATGTAAGAAATGAATCCCATATTTTATGAAAAATATGACTTTTTTGTTTGATTGTGTGTGTAAGCCTCTTTAATCACTGAGCAAGAAGAAAGCTTATTAATCCAAAGTTTCACTGATGGACAATGAACACTTTTTCAATGTCTGGCAATAAGACGCTTCGCTTGTATTCGACAAAGGTTTACTGACTTCCTTTCATCAGTTCTCAGGGCCAATGTTTCTGGAATTAAACCAAGAATATACATCTCAATGATCAGCCAGTTGATATCTTTATTATAATGTATGAAAGGACAATGTGAAAACGTTGTGAAATGTGTCACTCATAGTGATGACCTACAGACACCTGAATCTGCAGTTCCCCTCGGCTTTGCAGAACTTTATAGTGAGTTTCAGCTCATTGTGTAGCTGTCAGGCACACAGCACTGTTTTGGTTCACTCTCACCTCTCTCACACTGTAGGATCTTTTTCAAGTGTAGCAGACAGCTGTTTTCTTAGCAAAAAAGCCCCCCAAAAAACAGTGCACGCTACCAGCTGGGCACCAAACAGCAGACAGGCACAGTTAGCAGCTAGCTGGTGAACATAGTGGAGCATTTATCAGCGTTTCTGCAGTGTGTGCTGTGTTTCAGTCTACTGCACTGCTGCACAATCTGAATGTTGTGCTGTGTATCAGGAACTACCACGTGTGGGTGGAGGCATGGATGAGGCGGCCAGACCTGTCAGAAGACGGCAAATATGATGGATGGCAAGTTCTGGATCCAACGCCACAGGAGAAGAGTGAAGGTACAGACTCTCTTGTTCGTCTCTATAAACTTTAACTGGGACACATTTTCTTCTCGGCTCTGATGACCTTGTTTCTCGTCCTAATTGTACATGCTGACCTCTTTCTATTCTGAGATTTATTGACAGTGTCACTCAATAATTCTGAATGCCGTCCAAACAGGGATTTATAAGAATATATTTTTTTTTAACTAAACGTCAGAGTTATTTTTAAACATAATTTGTTTCTATAGAAGTATTAAGTCATTTTGTGTTTTATCACAATGCCTTTTTTGATTTTCATGTGTCATTTTAGTCTCTACTGAGTTATATATGTAAATGTTCTGTGCAAATATCATAGACAAAAAATGACATGCAACATAGGGGCCACACGATGGATTCAAACATATGGCCGCTACAGGACTTCAGCCTTGGTACATGGGACCAGGTCTACAGGTGGGCTACCAGAGCACCCCCTGTTTCACAGCATCAACCACAAAGGTCACTTATGTCTAGGTCACTATGATGATGAAGGTGACCTGACTGTTGTTATCGTGACAACAAAGGTCACCTGATGTCATTCTTTCCTGCATGTCCAAAATTTGTGAAATGCATCATCCCATATCACATTCGTTTGGAGGCATGTGGGTGTGAAACAGGGAGTACAGGGCAGACTGTGTGTCCAGCGTGTATGCAAGAGAGTAGTGTTATGAAGGGAAAACAATATGCAGTTTAGATTATCAAGGTGTAGCCAGATTAAACTATATGGAGACAATTTCAAAACCAAAATGTGAATTTCAAAGTGAAAATGCCAACAAAGAAAGTCAGAAGTTTATTGCTCCATTTAATGATCTGTCTGAATTGTCTCTCCTCCTGTAGGGGTCTACTGCTGCGGTCCAGCCCCGGTCAAAGCTGTTCTGAATGGAGACACAGATCTCAAATATGACGTCCGATTTGTCTTCGCTGAAGTCAATGCCGACTGTATTGACTGGCTGGTCAGTGACAGATATCAAAGCCACATTCAAAAACAGCAAAAGTTCAAAAAGCTTATTTTATTATAGATTTTGTTTCATTTCTTAATGTTTGTATTGTCTTTCAGGTAAAAGCTGATGGCACACATGTGAACATCTGGTCTGACACTAAGAGAATCGGTCAAAATATCTCCACCAAGTCCATCGGCTCCAGGAAGAGGTTGAACATCACGGACTCCTACAAACACAAAGAGGGTGAGTTCACCTGCTCAACAGGCTACGCAAAACCTTCAGCTGTTTTAAACTGCACAACAGTGGCTCTGGAGTTTAACTGAATTACTACCCTTACAGGAACAGACAAGGAGAGATCTGTCTTTGTACACGCCAGCAAGAAGGAGGCAGTCAAGAATGAGGGGACGGTCGAGAATGGTGGGACAGTCGAGAAAAGGGGTACGGAGGGGAACGAGGCAACAAACCCTGAGGCCACACGAACTGTGGATAAAGTAACCATAGACACAACGCCTCCACTGCCGCAAGTGTTCATTCGATTCGAAGAGGTACGTCACAGAAGCTACACTCCCTGAAGTTTCCCTTTAGAGCTTATGAACAGGATGTTTGTCTTTCTGGCTTTTAGAAATGTCATTTTTAACACAAAACTTAGATGCTGAGCACAAATCGCACTGTCTCCGGATCGAGTCCCCCTGGGAACCTTTGTTGCTGATTCCAGTCTTGCTCCCCTCATTTCCGGCCACGTCACAAAAATTTGTTGATTTCTGTTTTCTAATAAATGCACAATATCCCCAAAACCCCCAATATCTCATTTTTCTTATTGTGTGGTGCTGCAGGTGTCCAAACCGATGAATGGTAAGGATGTGAGCCTGAAGCTGGTGCTGCACAGTGAGAGCAGTGTTTCCAGGCCGCTGTCCATCAACATCAGCGTCCAAGCCATGAGGTACAACGGCTCCCCAGCTGTGAACATCCAGGCTGAGGTGAAGGTGGAGACGCTGCTGCCCGGGAAAGGTGACTCCTCTTCTGTGGATATTTTTCTGGACAGAGATGTTGCAGAATTCTCAAAGATACCACGAGGTTTAGCTGAAAAAATACTGTATGTTTTTTTAGGAATTTGGTTGTGAACCAACTTTAAATCTCCCTTCTCTTCCGCTGTCTCTGGTAGATCTCTCGATCCCAATCCTGGTCCCATTCTCGGCCTACAACAAACACATGGTCAACTGTGACAGCATGAAGGTTTCAGTCATTGTCACCGACAAACAGAACCCCAAGAACATATACCTGGCTGAGGATGACGTTGTGCTGCTTAAGCCTCCGTTCTCTGTCACCGTGAGTAGAAAATCCTGTCTCACTGTCTATCTCTTTGTAAAATCAAATGCCAACAGCAAAATACAATACAAAAAATACAGGCATAAACATTAGAAACTAGGTAACATAACATAAATATAACCATACCACACAGCAATAGAAACCCCAAAACATCCAACAATTAAACACAAAGTACATCTGAGGCTTAGTTTTGCACATATTTTACATATTGAGATTGACATTTTGACCTGATGAAGGTGCTGGATAAAAAGTGAGAGGATCATCAAAGTTACTGCAGTTCATCCTGAGGGGAACATGAATTTATACACCACATTCCAAGCCAGATCATTAAATAGCTGATAGCCAAAACCATGAATGTTAACGTTGTGGTGGCACAAGAGGAAATGTCAAGAGATCACCAAAATGATTCATCCTCTTTAAGCCATGATTGTCAGTACAAAATGGATGAATGAAACCTACTGGTGGCGCCAGTTTAAAGGTCAGGGATCAGTGTTGGCACCGTGGATACTTACTCACATATTTCAACCTGCTGGTGGTGCTATGAGTCAGGGGATCACAATAAACGTCAGTAGGCTGTTGTTGCTGTATTTTCTGTGTGTAATACAGTTTCTTGTTTTATGCAGCTTGATGCAGTTTGGTTGCCTGAGTGTGTTTGAATAATGTGTTGAGATGTTTGTGTGTTCCAGGTGTCCAGTCCGGTCAGACTGAACCGCGAGGCAAGTGGGGAGGTGATTTTCATGAACCCAGGCAACGAGACGCTGAAGGACTGCACTCTGACTCTTTCTGGAAGTGGCATCTGGAAAGATAAAATTGAATTCATGTGAGTGTGTGTGTGTGTCTAACGTAACCTCATGAGGGTGTCAAATGCTATTCAAGGTCTCAGGAGGTTAATTCAGGTAACCTATTAATGTCGCAGTCTATAAAGTGTCACCAATAATTACAAAGGTAAGGTAAAAATATATTTTCTCTGTCTGAACACAAGCAGCTGCACAACAAATTTGTCTAAATAAAATAATTTAAAATGAGCTAAATTTGGACTTAAATCAGAAACTGTCTGGTCAGAAAATAAGCAAACAACATTATGAATCTGGAGAGACATTTGACGTCAGCTTTTTGTACTCGACACATTTTAACAAGCACCAAAAGGGTTTCGTGGTTCTATTCCCAGTTGGGATATTGGGATGTTTTACTGCACAACACTGCATAAATTAAAATGGGTGTTGTCTACTTAAACACATGCAGAGTTGTTTTTGTTTTCTTATTGTTCTTTGTCTTATCAACAGGATTCCAAATATGAAGCCAAGCACCCGAATACGTGTCACGTTCTTCTTCGTTCCCTACAAGACCGGGGAGAAGACTCTCATGGTGGTCTTCGACTGCTCCACCTTCAGGGACATCAAGGGCAGCTGCACTTTCAATGTGGAGCCATAGATTTTCGCTGAGTAAGAGCCTCGTATGTTGACGCGGAAAGTGTTGTAACCCTTTATGCCGCATACATACGCACAATCTTAGCTGGCTTAATGAATCACCTTTTAGAGAATCTAACATGTCTTTGGCGCTCAGTACATTTGTTACATTCCAGGAAATACTGACTGTATCATAATTACTTCTGCACTTGTAATTTACTATTTTTGTGAAACTAGTTTGTCTTCATTCAGTGATTTTTTTTCAAAAGAACAAGAATAAGCATGTTGTTTTCAAATGAAATGTGGGTGCAGAGTGTATGAAGATTGCCAGCTAAGCTCAGTAACAAACCCTGTGCAGTGTTTAAAACGAAGCTGTAGAAAGCCATTGTGCCAAAGTCCTGAGTTGGACCCTTACTTAAAATCTCATTCAAAAATGAAAAAAGTAAAGAAAAAGAGATGCAACTTATGAGCAGTGCCTAGTAGAGAGAAAATAATAAAATAAGTACAGTAAATATATGAAACCCATTAGATATAATATATTTTTTATTTATTTAAGGTCTGAGTTAGAGACCAACTGAGTCTGAATGTTTTAGGTCTGATACTGATAACTACCACCAATAATCTTCAGGTTCTTCATCATTAACAAGTGAACATCCTTCAGATTTGCTTACCAAAGATATGTGGTGGATGCCGGGTTTTTTATGTTGTTTATGTTGCTGATGCTGTCTATAAAGTACTTTATATGCACATTTTCACATATTATGTAATGTTTGAGCCCATGCACACTGATAAATAGATATGTAATGAACCAGTGTTATAAACTGTTCCTTTAACACTGGTGGTGACACTCTCATCAGGAAATGTAAAGTTTACAGAACGGAAGAATGCAGCTAAACAAACTAACTGAGCTGATGTTAAAGTGTCCCCTTGTGGCTAAATAAGAAAGAGACCAAATGCTGTTTAAAGTGGACTGTATCTGTACTTGTTTTATGGTTGTATTGAATATGTCTGCAACAAGCACAAATAAAATGTTTACTGAGAGCCCTGTGCCATTAGTGTGTTTAACTGTTTGTTTGCAATGTGTTGCTTTATACCAGGACCGAACTTAAGGGGGACCCAATAGAAAACTGAGCTGATTAAAGGGATAGGAAAGATAAAAATAACACAATATTATGTCTATTTATACAGACTTTATTCTTTTGCATTTGTCTTGTGAAATATTAGATACTTTTACCTCCTTGTGTCTCATCCTTCATGTGAAATAATCCAAGAAGGAAAGAATAGCTCTTTGGTTTAACTGCCTGTAACTCATATCCTAACTAAAACGAATTACACGAGAGAACAGGACAAACGGATATTTACCGCACTTATAGCACAAAGCAGAGATCCATTAAGCAAACATTTTAAAACAAAAATAAAGTTTTAAAAAAGGATTAACTGATTAAATTAAATGAATACAGCAAAAACAATAGACAGGAAATGAAATTCAAGCTGAGTGCAGCCAGAAGTTGCTGCACTTAAACTGCCCCAAATGTAATAAAAGACATCAACGTCCAGAAGAGAAATTCATCAGATTAAAACAGCAGTTTAGCTCTGAAAGAACAAACTG